GGGGCCCTGGCCCCGGGGGGGCAGGGTGGGGGGGCAGAGGGGCCCTGGCCCTAGACATGGGCCTGGCGCTGACACTCTTTTCCCCCCTAGGAAGTTGGCCGCATGAAGGTGGAGCTGTTCGCAGATGTTGTGCCCAAAACAGCGGAGAATTTCAGGTAGCCTGTGGCACTTTGCTCCCAGTGAGGCAGCCCAATGCCTGGGGATCGGTCATGCAGCAACTGGCTGGAGGAGGCCCCGGCTCTCTGGCCCAGCAGTGGGGGGCCTGGCGCTGACACTCTTTTCCCCCCTAGGAAGTTGGCCGCATGAAGGTGGAGCTGTTCGCAGATGTTGTGCCCAAAACAGCGGAGAATTTCAGGTAGCCTGTGGCACTTTGCTCCCAGTGAGGCAGCCCAATGCCTGGGGATCGGTCATGCAGCAACTGGCTGGAGGAGGCCCCGGCTCTCTGGCCCAGCAGTGGGGCAGTCCTGCCTGGCACAGTGCCCAGGGGGTCTGAGAAGCAATTTTAATGGAGGTTGTGTCCCTTTGAGACAGCCTTATGAGCTGCAGCCTGCAGTAGATTGTGCACTGTAGGGTATCAGCCCTCCTCTTTAACATGTGCTTTGATCATCAAGGAAATTAACTGCCTTGATAATTAACTTTTACTTTTAGATCCCTTAAAGGGAAGGGACAGGGTTAAGACTCTAAAAGCCAGGTCCACACTACTGGAGGTCAGCTTAAGGTACGCAATTTTAAGTTAAGTTTTTGTTTTTTTACATAGCTGGAGTTGACGTATCTTATGCCATACTTTGGCACTGTCTTCTCAGCAGAAGGTCAACAGGAGGAATGCTCCTGTCAACTTCCCTTACTCTTCACAAGAAATAGGAGTACTGCTGCCAATGGTGGCACCCTCATTGGGGTCTTTATTAGGGATGTAATAGTATAGTCGATTAACTGATAAATAAAAGCTTATAGGTTAATGCATTCCTCCCCAGCCCCCCACCAGTAAATTTTTTAGTAGGCTGGCCAGCAGCCCGGCTCAGTCCTGGCTTGCGACGGGTCTGGGATCTACCCCTGCTGTGGCTCTGCATTTAAAGTGTATTAGGAGCTGGGTGGGCAGGCATCCTGGCTCAGTTCCGGCTCACGTTGGGTCCAGGAGCTCAGACTCCACCCTCACACAGGGGCTGCTGCTACCCTGCACTGGTGCTGAGGCAGGAGTGCGCAGTGGTAGAGCGCTCCCCAGGAGTGGCGCTGGAGTGCACTGGCTGCTGACCCCACCCCTGGGGACTGTAGAATAGTAAAGTAACTGATAAGAATTCATGAGGTTAATCGACTGTTCAGTTATACTGTATTTACTAGGGATGTTAAAATACGTTTATTTATGTAAATGTATAACCGCTGAATTTTTCAGTGGTTACACATTTACATGCTAGCAGGCAGGTATCTCTGCAGGGATGGATGTAACCATGAACAGATTTACAGAATATGGGTACACATTCACATCTTTAGTTTTTACTGAATTGAACGATGGAAGATCGACGGCTGTAGCATCTAACTGTCAGGGCGATTAAACACTGGAATAAATTGCCTAGGGAGGATTTGGAATCTCTGGAGATATTTAAGAGCAAGATGGATAGATATCTATCAGGGATGATCTAGATCAGGGCTATGTTTGTTTTCAGCCTATGATGCAGTTCGGGTTTACGTGGGGCTCAACACGTGGCTCACGGGTGGGATCCTTTGAACGTGGCCTCCACTGGGAACGTGCTTCACAATGGCGAGGCGTCTCCCAGCTGGGGTGAGCATTGAAAGATGCAAGCGGACAGTCTGGCTGGAACAGATGGGTGCAGGGTGTCAGCGTGTCTAGCCCCCAGGAAGGTGGTGCCAGGAGCACCGGGGCATTGTGTGAAAGAAGCTATTTCCATATATCAGAGGGGTAACCGTGTTAGTCTGAATCTGCAAAATCCGTTAGTCTATAAGGTGCCACAGGACTCCTCGCTGTATTTGCATATATATTTGCATATTTGTGCAACCACACTTATGTTGCGCCACTTGGCATGTGCTGTATCATTGTGGCCCTCGTGGCTTCCAAAGTTGAGTAGCCCTGATCTGGATGGTGCTTGGTCCTGCTGTGAGGGCAGATAACCTCTCAAAGTCCTTTCCAGTTCTAGTATTCTGTGATTTTTATCCCACATCAGGTCTCCTGTAATGGAAATTGCCTAGCAGATGTAGTGGCCTTACTGCCGTATCTTCCCATCACCTCCTAGGCACCAAATTCCATGCTGTCTCCTTGTGAGATTCAATCTGCAGATTGAGCAAAACTCAGCTGTACTTCAGACTGGC